TAATGGTCTGACTGAGACAGGGGGTACGCTGGAAAGCATGGCCCCCAGATTCCCTATCAGCCCAGAACTAAAACAATTTCCGAGGCCAACTCTTCAGACAGGGATTGGACTGGACTGTGGGACATAAAGTCATACTCATGAGAAGTGTGCCTCTTAGCTCAAGTATATACAAGAGACTAAATGGGCAGCTTCTGTCCGGAGGTGAGGCTGGAAGTGAGAGAGGGTTAGGAGCTGGTTGAATGGACATGGGGAATCAGGGGTGGAAAGGAGGAGTGTGGTGTCACAGTATGGGGAAAGCAATTAGGGTCACATTACAATGTATGTACAAATTTCTGTATGGGAGACTAACTTGAAATGTAAACTTCATTTAAACTACAACAATTAAAAAAAAAAATTTTTTTAAATATCATTTGGGTTTATATACACCAGCAATGAAAAATCTGAAAAGAAAATTAGGGAAACAATTCCATTTACAACAGCATCTAAGAGAAACTGACTCAACAGCACCTAACAACAACAACTAAGAGAATAAAATGCCTAGGAATAAATCTAACCAGGGACATGAAGGACATATACAATGAAAACTATAAAACACTGCTGAAAAAGATTAAAGAAGACTTAAATAAATGGAAAGATAGTCTACGTTCATGGACTGGAAGACTTAATACTGTTAAGATGTCACTACTACCCAAAGCCATCTATAGATTCAATGCAATCCCATTAAACAGCCTTCTTTACAGAAATAGAAAAACCAATCCTCCACTTTATATGGAATAGCAAGAGGCCCAGAATAGCTAAACCAATGTTGAAAGTGAAGAACAAAGTAGGAGAACTCACACTTCCTGATTTTAAAACATACTACACAGCCACAGTAATCAAAGTAGCCTGGTACTGGTATAACAACAGACACATAGACCAATGGAACAGAACTGAGAATCCAGAAATAAACCCACACATCTATTTTTGACAAGGGTGCTAAGTCCATTTGATGAAGAAAGAAGAGTCTCTTCAATAAATCGTGCTGGGAAAATTGGATTTCCACATGCAGAAAAATGAAACAGGATCCATGCCTCACACCATATGCAAGAAAAAAATTCAAAATGGATTAAGGACCTAAATGTGCAAACTAAAACCATAAAATTCTTGGAAGAAAAAGCCAAAGCAATGCTGTCAGGCTTAGCTTTTAACAATGGATTATCTAATATAATAACAAGAGCACAAACAGCAAAAGACAAAATAAATAAGTAGGACCTCATAAAAATTAAAAACTTTTGTTCATTAAAAGACTTTACCAAAAAAAGTACAAAGACAAGCTACCGACTGTGAGAGTATCCTCAAAAACCGTACATCCAACAACAATATAATAACCAGAATATATATAAAACTTCAACAACTTAACAACAAAAAGACAAATAACCCAATCATAAAATGGGCAAAGGACTTGAACAGACATTTCACCAAAGAGGATATTCATATGGCCACCAAACTCAAGAAAAGATGCTCAGCAACAACAACCATCAAAGAGATGCAAAATCAAAATCACAATGAGATACCATTTCATTCCCACTACGATAGTCAAGATTAAAAAAAAGAAAGAAAGAAAATAACAAACATTAGCAAGGATGCGGGGAAACTGGAATCCTCATCAGTTGCCAGTGAGAACGCAAAATGGTACGGCCCTTGTGGAAAAGAGTGTGGCAGTTTCTCAAAAAACTAAAAACAGAACTACCATACGAACCAGCAATTCCACTCCTAGGTATACATCCAAAAGCTTGAAAGCAGAGACTCAAAAAGAGCCTTGTACACCAATGTTCACTCCAGCACTATTCACAATAGTCTAAAGGTAGAAACAACCTAAATGCCCAACAACAGATGGATAAACAAAGGTGGTACTTACATACAATGGAATACTACTCAGCCAGTAGGAGAATGAAGTCTTGATACATGCTACAATATTGATCGATCTGGAAGACATTATGCTGAGTGAAATAAATCAATCACAAAAGGAAAATACTGTGACCTCACTTACATAAAAAGACAAGAAAAAGCAAATGTACAGAGACCAAAATTTATTAGTGGTTACCAGGGAAAAAGAGGGGGGGTTAATAGTGATGGAAATATCACATTGTTAAAAGGTAGGGCTGCACAGCCAATTATCGTAATTATAGTAAATAAGCTGTACATGTGCAAAAAGTTGCATTGGCAAGTGTTGTGTAATAGATATATATTTATGAGGACAAAAAAAGTAGCCGCTGAGGCTGCTTATGTACAACCAAAAAACTCATGGGATTTGATACCTTCATCTGGAGGTTTACAGTTATGGTTTCACGGGACATTCCAGTCAACTGGCTTAATAACATGTTTAGTGCTTCTGTTCTACCTCTCAGTTTGTTGCATAGTGTCTGGGGTCTTAAAATCCTGCAAGTGGCCATTCAAGGCACAACAATTGGTCTCTATTCACCTGGAGCAACAGAGGAAGAAGGAGACTCAGGAATCAGAGGAGGATATGGAACGTGTGGCTAACTGCCTCCATGAACATGCCTCGTTTGCCATGCGACCAGAAGAACTTGATGGTGCCCAGCTACCATTACTGAACATTTTGATCAAAGATTCTACAGAAGAATCCTGATCAAAAGGGGCAAATGCAGAACAGAATTTAAAATTCTCATGGACTTCCAGACTCCTGGAGCCATGAAAGTTGGACGAACCCCTGCAACTACTACCCCGAGATAACCTTTTAATCTTAAACCAAAAATATCCCCTGAAATCTTCTTAAAACCAAACAATAGTTTAGCTTAACTAGTAAGAAATGTCTGACTTGAGCATTTGCTCTTTTAAGAACTATCTATATGGGATCAAATTGACAATAGCATCTCGAAAGATTAGATAGGAACCTTAGGGGGCTGTGAATTCATGTTAATAAGGAGAAGAACAACTCAGAAAAGGCAAGTAAGAATGGTTGCACAACTTGAAGAATGTAAACAATGTCACTAAATGGTACGTGTAGAAACTGTTGAATTGCTGTAATTTTTGCTGGGTATATTCTCAACAACAATAAAATAAATGCTTTTTTTTTAAAAGAAAAAGCAGTAGCCACAAAAGAAAAAAAAGTCGTTGGCATTTTATTGGTGGGGGAAAAACTGACAAGTCACCAAGTATTTATTTCAGCCACTTTCTCTGTCCTAAAACAGCATTCTAATAAAAAATACAGTGTAACACTTACTTCATCCAATGAAGAATTTTATGCCACTATGATATGCCTTTCTACTCCTTTCCAAGGACTTAACTTATGTTGTGTCACAGAAATCCCTAATTGGTAACAATTAAACTCGGAAAACACTGCCCCAATTTTAAAAACTGCACAGCTTTAAGAAAGATAGAAGAGGCTCCCAATGGATAAGCACATATGTCGAGTTCATTCAATTCCATTCAACAAGTAAGTGCACCAAAACCCCTTGCTGTCGAGTAGATCCCAACTCATAGCGACAGATGAGAACTGCCCCCTAGGGTTTCCAAGGAGCGGCTGGTGGATTCGAACTGCCAACCTTTTAGCTAACAGCCGAGCTCTTAACCACTGTGCCACCAGGGCTCCCTCTAGGCGCACCAAACCAAAACCAAACCCGTTGCCGTTGAGGCAATTCGGACTCATAACGACCGTATAGGACAGAGTAGAATTGCCCCACTGGGTTTCCAAGGAGCAGCTGGTTGATTCAAAACGCCGACCTTTTGCAGCCTTAGCTCGCTGTAGCTCTTAACCACTGTGCCACCAGAGCTCCTCTAAAGTACACCAAAAAAACAAAAACAAAACTCATTGCCGTCAAGTCTATTCCGACTCCTAGCGACCCTACAGGGCAAAGGAGAAATCCCTCATAGAGTTTCCAAAGAGTGCATGGTGGATTCGAACTGCCGATCTTTTCGTTAGCAGCAGTAGCTCTTAACTACTAGGCCACCAGGGTTTCCCTAAAGTGCACAGTACCTGTGAAAAACCCAGGCCAACAAGTACTGCAGGGTTGCAAAAAGGAATTAAAGACATAGCCTCACATTAACCCAGCCACAGAAAGTCAGTAATTCAAAATTATCCTCTAATGGCTGCCTCTAAAGGTAAGTGCACCCCAGTTATTTAATGTTCATAGTCTGCATTACCGTGATTCCGGTTGCCATTTTTAGACTGTCAACTTCTTGAAAGTAGGGTAAATGCCCAACTCTGGGTACTTTTTTCACTGATTAAAAGGTATACGTGGAAACCGAATAAAATTATGCAACTGTCTGTAAGTCAGTTTGGTTTCTAATTGATTATAGCCAAAAGGAGTTTACCAATTCCCCACTGGGCAAACGTGGCAACCGATTCAATTTCCTATAACCTTATCTTGGAAACCAGGCTCCCCATCTGATACTTAATGCTATACAAAGCATCCCTCTGGCCTGGCCCATGCGGAGTGCATTCTAGACAATCCCCAGTGCACCAACAGCCCAATTTTGGCTATACTGAGTGATTTAAGGAAGTCAGCAACCACTCATCTCACGTAATCTTAAAAAGGGGCGCAGTTGAGCCCGTAATAAACCACACTCTCATCTTTTTTTCTGCATCAACTTCACTGCTCAACATGAAGGAAGTGGGCAGGGGCATGGCGCAGGACTGGTGTGCAGTGGAGGCTAGCAAACAAATGTGGGTTGTTGTGCCTAATACTTTGGGGGAGCTAGGTGGTGAGGGAGCATAACCGCTCACGCGCACTGCAGCGGCTGAAAATCGCTGCCACACCCCCCCGGCAGCCTGGGGCATGTCTTCACCTTCCTCTTTCCCCAAATAGAAAGGGGACCCTCTCTAGGGAATGCACCGTATGCAGGACAATGTCCCTGGCTCCCCACCACCACCACCCACCTCTAAACGCAACGCCCTTGAGCCTGGCGCGGGTGGGACACGGTAGTGGGGGGCGGCGGGGGGCGCGCGGCGACGGGAGACCCGCGCATGCGCAGATACTGGTACCCGCCCGTTTACCTACCGTTGGAACCGCGACGCCCCGTTCCCCGGCCGCTGCCGCTTCTCCAGGACCCGCGGCGACGGCAAGAGGGCGAGAACTGAGGCCCCAAGTGACTCCGCGGCCGGCGAGCCTCTTCCCGGAGCGGCCGCTGACAGACGGCTGATTCGACAGCGGTGGCGGCGGGGCCAGCCCGGTAAGCGACCCTCAGATCCCCCCGGCGGCGGCGGCAGAGGCAGAGGCTGAGATGTGGGCGAGGGGACGGGAGCGGGGACGGGAGTGGCGGCGTAGGCAGCGTCTGAGGGACAGAGCCTCCCTAACGGCAAGCGGGAGGAGAGCGGATGGGGGAGGGAGGGCGGAGGCGGGGCCGGACGTGACGTGAGGGGGCGGGGCGGGGCCCGCTGGCGGGGGTGGGGCAAGCGCGATGTGAGGGCGGTTGGTACTCCCGTACCTCTTGCCAGCATCCCTGGAGTCTGCGGGTTAAAGAACCCCGGTGTTTACCCCAAATTTGGGCCCCTGAGTTAGGGTGCGAGAAGCCAGGCACGGGTCTGAGGGAAGTTGGAAAGGAGAAAGCAAACTGGGGAAGGGAAGTAGGAGCGATAAAGGGAAAATCCGGAAGACCCAGGTCGTTCCTCGTCTCTCTGTGCCTTAGAAAGTCGGAAAAACCCGGGATGCCCTTATCAGGGTGAGGAGCACAGAGACAACAGAAAACTGCCGGGGGCAGACCTAAGCGGTGACTCATGTTACCATTCCCAGCGATGTGGGTTAGATGGAAACGTCGGGGCTGCACCTGCCCGCCCTCCACCATTCCCCTTCACCCAAGGACCTAAGGACCTGAACTTGACTCCAGAGAGAACATATGTCTTTGGCGCCGAAAGGGTCTGGGAATATGAAAGTCGATAGGCTACCTGCTCACAATGAACTTCATATACTAAACAGAGCTTCAGAGGCTGAGCTGAAAGGCAGAAAGAATGAGGAGCTCTCTGAGTCTGTACTTGCTTGTATAGCCGCCCAGATCAATCCTGCAGCTCCCTCGAGCTCACAAAGGTTAGAATATTCAGCCAGTCTCTTTTTGCTTTAGTCTGTTGAAGGCGTTGAGATCTTCCACTGAGTAAAATGCAGTATTCTGCCTTTGGACTCCTTGACGGCGGGGTAGATCCACACCTGCACAAAGAACTCAGGGTGTCTGTAAAAATATAAACCACCACAATCCGGTTGTCCCCTACCTGCCCGGGCTGGAAGTTAGTAACCCGGAAAATGTAAAACAAGAACCCTCAGAGAATTTAGGACAAGATTTAAAAAAATACAAAAACGTCAGCCTATGAGATGATCTGTAAATGTGTTACAGAGGCCAGGATGGCCTCTTTAGAGTGACTAAAATAAGTCATCTGTAACCTAAGTGTCACATGCCCAGTTGATGCGGTCATAATAGAAGCGTAGGGTCCACAAAGCGTCTAGAACCAGCAGGGTCTGAATAAGAATGTATCTGTCCAGGAAAGAGGCCTAATGAGCAGTACTAATACCGGGCAGTTAAAAAGGTTAATTCAGATTCAGTTACTCGTTGAACAAATATTTACTGAGTGCTTACTATGTTCTAGTCTCTTACGATACATCAGCAAATAAGATCCCTGCCCTCATGAAGCTTACATCCTAGCAAATTTAAATTCTGGATATCCTTTAAGAACATACAAAGACCCACGCTCTGATACTCATCAAGTAATCTTTCAGAGGATCTCCAGAGTAAATCAACACAGCCAGCAAGAGGCGGTTGTCCAAGGCACATGATGGTACTAGTTATACTTACTGTACAGTCTTTGTTAGTTAATAAATTCACATTATGGTTTATAACTCATCTTCTGTTCATTGGGTTGAATTATGAAGTTGATTTATTCAAATTTATTTCCCAGAGCTTGATTAAACTTGAATGAAGTAAAATTTAAGTTTCTGAATCTGCCAAACTGAAGACCAGACAGACCCTGGTTTCATGGCAACGCGATTACGATGCAGTCTGTGTATTCAGCCTTGAGAGTCTCTTTAAACATCTTAAATGGCAGTTTTACCTGTGATTTTATGCTTGGAGATCAGGGGCAACATGACTGCTTCTAAAGCTTCACCATAAGACAGTAAAAATCATAAGAGTTAAAAACCCTCCTGAACCTGCCACACCTATGCAACACAGGCTCTTGTTGACATAATTGACTGTAATAGGTATCTTACTCCAAGTATGAATGAAGCCCAAGACTGTAAGGTCTCAGAGGAAAGTGACTCCCCTGCATTTATGCACTCTACCCCAAAGTCTGGGCTGTCAAAAACAAATTGATTCAATGACCATTTTTCCTCTGTAGAACTTGTCCTTGGAATATATCTTTTCCAGATCCTCCTTTGTAGTATGTAACCAGTATGTTCAACATGCAGGACTCATGGGGTATTAAAACAAACAAACAAACCCTTTATTTTTATCTTTCACCGCCCCTCTAAACCTGTGCAAGGGGAGTAGAAATGAAATGCACCCGACCAAAAACACAAGCAGGTTCTATAACTTCTGTGCTCCCTCTTAGGTAATAGAAGGTTCTTTGGTCATCAAGTCACGGACACACAGAGTGAAACCTTTCCCCCTTCTCCAGTGGGGGACAGCTGGCTCTCTACATACTCTGGAGAGGGGAGCATAGTCCTCTCTGACCCTGCCTAGTCTTTCTAGTTCTTACCCATCTTACTAACCAGACTCAAAGGGAGGGGAAGAAAAGAAAAGAAGGGGGAGCAGAAAAGTTTTTAACTTTTATTTTCATGTGCTAGATTAACACTCAGTAAGCCTAGCAATGTTTAACACTGACTTTCTTCTGGTGGATACTTTTATGTTTACTTCAGAGATCACTACCATCCCCATCTCTGGTGGTTTCTTATCCACTGTTCCCTTCATCTGAGTAAAAGCACTGTAATTTGGAAGTTCTTTACTCTCTCTTCAGCCTTCAACTACTTGTCTGTTTAAGCCTTTGCATCTCTATAGGGGACCCTGTTAAATAGGATTTAAGATAACTCTCACACTGGCCCATTTTCAAGTGGCCCTAGGACCACCCCATATGGCTATACAAAATTGTGCCCTCCGTAACCCTTCTACCTATCTACCGGTTGCCATTGAGTCGACTCCAACTCATGGCAAATGCATGTATGTCAGAGTGGAACTATGTTCCATAGGGTTTTCAATGGCTAATTTTTCAGTAGTAGATCATCAGGCCTTTCTTCCAAGGCATCTCTGGATGAATTCAAACCTCCAACCTTTCAGTTAGCAGCCAAGTGTGTTAACCATTTAGAGTAGAACTGTGCTCTAGGGTTTTTCAATGGCTGATTTTTTGGAAGTAAATCACCAGGCCTTTCTTCCATGGCACCTCTGGGTAGACTAGAACCCTCTCTAGGGTGCCAATCATTGTAGATTTGTATATTTATTTTGACATTTTCCAGCAGGTGGCAGTAAAGAGTTTTGTCCAAACTAAATATTTTATGACTATTTTCCAATAGATGGTAGCAAAGTATCTGGACCAAAGAGAGCTTTTTTTCTGATGGTGGTATTTTGGCTAGTGGCAGCTGCGTATGACCTGCACCTGGTCCACAGGAGGCTCTTAGGAAATTTTGTGCCCAAACAAACTTGGGAGTACAGGCCAATCCCAGTTTGGCTTCAACAGTCCTCTGCTCTGCTGCCAAAACAGCTGCCAGCCCTTCTCTTGTCCTCTATATTTTCCATGCTGGCGTCAGTCCACTGTGCCCCTCTAACTGCACAAGACACATCTCAAGCACTCTGAGTAATTCAATTGAAGGCCCCTCGCACTGGGCTTGAGGTCAGAGGCAGGCAGGCAGACACCTGTGGTAAGGATCACAGCATACCAGCAGCAGTCTCCAAAGAAATCCTCCTTGACCTTTTATTACTTGCTGTTATCTATCTGCTTTTTTCTAAATCCTTTAAAATTTCCAGAGGGGGTCCATCTCAGAAGTCACTTTAGTGAATTTTTGTTTTTGTTTTGTTTTGTAATATCTTGGTGCTTCAGTTAAAACAGTAGTTCTCAACCAGGAGTGATTTTTTTGGGCAATGTCTGTAGATCTTTTTGGTTATCAAAACTGGGGAGATGCTATTGGCATCTAGAGGGTAGAGGTCAGGGATACTACTAAACATCCTACAGTGCACAGTATAGCACCCCCAACTCAGCCCCCCAGCAATGAATTATCTAGCCCAAAGTGTCAGTAGTGCTGAGATTGAGAAACCTTGAGTTAAAACTTCCAGTTTAACATCTTGTAACAAATAGAGTTTTAAACTTGGCAGTAACTAAGAAACTGCCTCAGAATTACATCACTTTTTCTTCTTTTTTCCGATAAATGCTTTACCTGCACATGTAGAGATCACATTTTAATATGTCACTAGAGTCATAAATATCATTTCAGATAGCTGCTTGGCCAGGATAAGAAGTGACTGGTATAGGCCAAGCCTGTGTGTTTGTAAGACTCCCTCTGGAGATGAGGCCATGCCAGGAAAATTATTACTTGAGGTGGGATTTTTGTAGTTATTCCTTTGCACAATTACTTATTTTTGGACTTTTTGTGTGGTAAAATATATATAACAAAACATTTGCCATTTTAACCATTTTTATGTGTACAATTCAATGACATTAGTTACTTTTACTATGTTGTGCAACCATTACCACTCTCCGTTTCCAATTTTTTTTCTTACTTTTAATAGAAACTCAGTGCCCCTTAAGCAATAGCTCTCCCTTCCTCCCCGTCACAACCTGCCCCTGGTAACTACTAATAAACTTTGGTCTCTATGCATTTGTCTATTCTAGAGATTTCATAAAAGTGGGATCATACAATATTTGTCCTTTTGTGGCAAGATGATTTTTAAAGCCCTGAGAAACGAGCATTCTACCTAACTTATCTGAGCAGACGCTTTATGCCTCTCTAAAGTAAAGTCGTTTTACTATTATAAGAACTCAAGAAATGGTTTAAACACAGAAGAAAACATTCTTTGATGGTTACAAGGGTGGGGAATTCACTAATTAGATAGTAGACAAGAATTCTTGGTGAAGGGAAGGATAACACACCGTACAGGGTAAGTCAGCACAACTGGTCTAAACCAAAAGCTAAGAAGTTTACGACCAAACACTTTGAGGGACAGAGTAGCAGGGGCTCGGGCCTGGGGACCACAGTTTCAGGGGACATCGAGGTCAGTTGGCATAACAAAGTTTATTAATAAAATGTTCTGCATCCCACTTTGTGAGTGGTGTGTGGGGTCTTAAAAGCTAGCAAGTG